CCAGATTTGATCATAATTAAGGTCTGTATGATTTCTGTTTAGTCGAGTTTTTTTCTAAGCGTACCACGAAAAATGGTAAACAACCGAAACGCGCCTGACATGAAAAAGCGAGGAAAAATAGATCAAAATGATCGAAAACTACCAAAGTATCAGTCATCACATAACGGAATTTTGCCTTTTTTTGTGTCACAGCAAAATATTGTCGCCCGTGCATAAAGGCAAAACGACAATCAGGGCTCAATATAGCAATTTTTCGGAAACGGAAGCACCCTAGATTTTTTATTTAAGAGACTTTCCCAGGTGTCGAACATTCCCCTTTCTGAAATACGAATAGAATATAAATGACTCTTAGGGAGCAGGTGAGGTTACACACCCTTGAATGCCAACTTGATCTAAACCTTGTATCGATAGATAAGGTCTATTAAATTATAGAACCGTACTACTCGGCATGAACGAACTCTCCCTGTATAAATCATAACTCAATTTAAAAAAACAGGGTAAAACATTAGCAGCTTGATGTCCTCCAATCAATCTAGTCTTCTGTCTCGAAATTTCTATGAGATGGGTTTCTACACTGTCTCATTTATAGCACGAATTGTTGTTCCGTATGTATAATTAATGCTAAATTGATTGAATTTAAACCTACAGTAGAAGCAATTTTAGTTCAATTTAATGATTGGACACTCAAAGCTGATTAGTAGTGGAATTATCATAAAATAAAAATATCTAATTATTAATTTTTAATCATTCATTTAAAAATAACCGTTATCACAGCGTACTTTATTTTATAGATTCAAAAAGAGGGAAAATTCAAAAGGTGGGGTTGAGATGGGAAGTTGGTGTCCTAGTGGATCGAAGTCACGATAGCTCAGGTTGTAGAGTAGCGGCGTATCAAGTCGAAGGCCGTGGTTTCGAATCCCGCTCGTCACATTGACTTTCTTATCTCAACTAAAAACTTTAATTAATTGAAATTTATTTTGTAGGTTTCCGTAAGATTTGGAAATCATGAATTTTTTGATATCTTATCAGATATTAATGAAAAAAATCTTTCGTATAGCAACCACTTGCTTAAAAGCAATCTTCGTAGTTTTCCTTTTGTTTGGTTTATTTTTCCCAAAAATGTACTGAAGGTGGTATAAAAACAAATAAGGCAGGTAAGGGAAAAATCAATAGCCAATATATGAGGAAAATCCGTCCCCTTTTTCTTGTAGGCCATCAAATATGAGTCGTGTATTTCCAGGCCAATCGTCGAGGGGAACAATGCCTCTCTGAATATATAAAATTTGTATTGAATTGAATGGGAAAAGTCAGGAGGACAGGGACTATTTGGGCGTATAAACATAGGGGGGTATTCTTCCCAATATCGCGTCGCAATTGTTTTCAATTCTCTCTCAAAATAAAACCTAAAATAATAGTATAAAATAACTAAAAAATTTCATACATTCAGAAGGCGAGAATGTATAATGTACACAAATTTATAAATTATTCTTCATTTTCTGCTGAGGTCATTTCAGTTCAAAATTCGCAAATTGCACATTTGAATGAATAAAATATGAAAAATAAATAAATTTACGTAAACAAAGAAATTCATTTTTATAACGGAGAAAAACAAAGAAAAACCGTTCTTATACATCATTGATTGCGAAACGTTCTGATGGAGATTGTGTCCGGGGTAACTTCCCTAAAGAATAAAATTGTTCCAGAACGTACATTAAAAGAAATTAAATAAACGAAAATGCTCCATTAAAAATAAATTGCCCTTCTTATAATAAAATTATAAAGAAAATTGTTCCCCTACCTTTCTGCGGTACTCCAGTGCACTCTTTTCAGAACCAAAGGAAAACCAGTGAAATTATATTTGCAATCAAAGATGCTCTGAAAAAATCTCGCAGTGCCAAAAAAGATAACCCAAAACTTAGAACGGATGGGACACTCAGCTAAAAGAAGAAAGTGGTTCTGCCTCACAAAGTATATTCTCTTTTCTCAGTCAAATAATCCTTCAAGAGGACTAATTAAGTTCCTACCTATATTTAAAGAATAATAATTATTACAGGACGAGATTAGAGTAGTATTGGTTAAATCGAAAAATTCGTCCGCTATAGAGCAGAAATGTCTAGGATCTATGGGCCAATTTGTTGCAACTTTCAAAATCTTTGGGACAAATATACCAAGTAATTTAATTACTCGATTACTATTATTTACTACTATTACGATTATTTAATTACCAAGTAATTACTCTTAAGCCAGGAACACACTTACTCGATGCTACGCCATGCGACGCTACCCGATGCTACCCGACGCCTTGCCACGTTTTGGTGGGGTGCGCACATCTATCCGACGCAAGCACACGTCGTACAGTCCACAGCGTTTATCACAATAATCACTATCACAATCGCAACACATCTATTGTTCTTAATGCACTATTTTGAGCAAAACCTTGTAATAAATTGTTAGTTAAATTTTATGAGCACAACCATCTAATAAATTGTTTGTTAAACTTAATTGTTTTAAATAAAGTAACTCCTAACCATCATAATTAAACAAAGTTTATAAAAACTTATGAATTTCCTGGCTTTATGGTTGTTGAGGGAGGACACAAAGTCAATATTAAAATCACAGGCTATTAAATTGAGTTCATAAAATATTAGCATTTATCATTCATTTTTCACAGCACATTTTTTTTTATTAACCGTACAGTACAGAATATCTACCGAAGCTAATCTGAAAGAATTGACATTAATGATAACAATGAAAAAATAATATATAAAAAGTCAAAGTCAAGTTATATTATTGAACTATTAGGAGGGATGTTAGGGGATAGGGATAGGGATAAAAGAGGCGCCCACAAGGCCTACTCCACCTCGACCTGAATAGAACTATTGTGCTTCCCTCTTATAAATAACATTATAACTCACTGGCCAGCTTCAAGTTATTATCCAGCGGTTCCTTGGTGTAGGATCTTGCTTGTGGTTTTGCTTGTACTAGTTGCAAGTACCTGCACGTACATAGATCTTCACAGAAACATAAAATGTGTCCTACGGTCTCCTCCTCTTCCTGGCAGTTTTTCTTCTGTCTGTACTCCTATTCGGTGTATGCTTTCTTAAGTGGCAGTGCCTTGTCAGGAGTCCAACCAGAATTCCGGTTCGGTTTCGGTTGCCTTCCAGTAATTCTTTTGTAAGTTTTGCGGATGGTCCTTCTATGCATACCTTCGCGTGGCTCATACCTGCGGTACTGTTCCACCAGGTTTTGGACTAATTAAGGATTCATTTTAACATGTATCCTCTTTTGTGGCAGGCTGTTAGGCCGCAGTAGGGTTCTGGGCCCAGAGAGGCCATGTTGGCTCCCTTTTTGACCAACATGTCAACCTTTCCATTGCTTCTATGCCCCGAATGTCCAAAGACCCATGCCAGGGTTAAGTCATTAGTGTGGCTGACTTCTGTCAGGGCCTCTATGCAGTTCCAAACACTCTTTCCCTTTGCCTCACCTGAGTGCTGACTGTCTGAGAAAATGGCTATCTTCCGGGAAAGTATTTTTAACCTTTTTATTTCTCTGGTGCATTGTTCAATCGCTATGAATTCAACTTGGAAAACTGTAGCATACTTACCTAGGTTTAACGTCAGTTCGGTCTTCAGGTTCATCCCGAAGACCCCAGCTCTCGTACCCGTGTCGGTTTCGGAGCCGTCAAAGGAAGGATGTTGCGGACGTTGATTAGTAGAATTACGAGACTTCTTAGGAGGCATCTGGCCTCTCCCTGATGGATCAGGGGAAGTCACGCACCTTGGTGCCTGAGCGACACCTACGTTGGGCTCTGATCGGGCGCCATCGACTTCTTTGTTAATTTCGGCGCCCTTCCGTTCATTAAAATCAGTCGTTCTCACACTCACTCACTCAGTAAATACATAATACTTCTATATACAAACCGAATCACACATGCATATCCTCTGTCTAGAATCCGGGTCGGAGGGTACTAGTTATCCCCCCCCCAGACACGGTTTGGTGGAGTTGCGGTGGAGCCTTGTGATGATATGCTGTACCACCGCACAGCATACCCATATTATAACATAAACTTAGCTACACATTAACTTATAAAATACCACACTCTATACAACCCAATATCCCAACATCTCTCCAAAACCTAAAAAGATTTTTTTTTAAATCGCTGCCATGCTCGAGCATTCTCCTATAGTCCGGCGGTATTCCATTTCAGTCCTATACGGGGCCAAGCTGCGACACCCCTCCAACATGTGCGACACCGTCTGTTATCTTGGCATGCTGGCCACCTGGGTCGACTAGCGCCGACCAACAGGTACCCATGAGTCGTACGTGCGTGACCGATCCGCAGGCGGGTCAGGACAAAGCTTTCCCTTCGGGATATCATCTCCGGGCTCGACCGGTTGACCGTAGACTTGACGGTCACTAGATCGTCAGTCGAATCGGCCCAACGACGCTTCCACTTTTCTAATATCATATTTTTCACTATTCTCTTCGCGTCGTCAGGCCGAATCGGGGTGGTCTCAACATCATCACTGTGGGAGGCACGTTAATAATATGTTAAATTGAATTCAGTTCTTATTGTAAATTTGACGGTTATTTTTTCTCATTACGATATTAAAAAATTTATTTAAAAAATTTAAATTTCCATTTTAATACAAAATATTGTAGAATAATGAGACAATTCGATTACCATTTGTATTAAGCTTTTGTCGTGAATGAAACCAATGGAGCTCACATTTATATTATCGCTTAAATATCACCGTCTTTTGTGTTTTTTAAAGAATGATACTTTGTACATAAGTTAAAAGAGAGTTTATTCTAGTTGGGGAAATAAAAACGAACAGCAGGAACCGTATTAAGTTACATTATTTTATTAACGCAGTTTACACCGAATGATCAAAAACATCTTTTCAAACATGGACTCATGTTATAAAACTTTTATTAAAGGCTTTATTTTATAACTATTTTTAAAAATAATATTTCACTATTTGTCTTTGTGTTTCCAGAGGCTGGACTTTGTGCAAACGATACTTTCTCAAACGTAAGTCACAATCAATTCTTTTATTTATATTTACGCCTTTATAATTTAAATTATTTTTATACGATTGTTTATAATGGTCTTTTCCAATGTTCACCTAGCGACTTGTTTTCCTTGCATAGAGGGTCACTTGACTTGCCATGTAAATCGATGATTAACTTTGCCCCTCTGCGACATGTCTTCCGTTAATATGTAAATTCAAGTGGTAAAGCCTGGAATGAAACTCACCGTGCGAGTATCATCGAGTTTTTGTCGAGTGGTTATGTGGTTCAGTACTGCTTGTTTCTACCATTTCCAACCTTTCTTATCAAATCGAACAAATCAAAACAACAATTGCAGTAAAAATCGAAATAAATGATTCATTGAATAAAACTTTAATAAGTCTCTTCTTCTAAACATAAAAATAGTTAACAAAACCTGTCACTTAATGGCTGATATCTTCTTTAAAAAATTCAATTTGATTTTTAAAAATAGATAAATATGATGTCACACAACGGGGAATTCATGCAAGTCTAGAAAAAAAAAATGCATAAAAGTCCTAAAGATGTTACCAAAATTATGAATGATTAAATCAACAGCTGAAATTTATTTATTTACTCCTTTCTGTGCATTATGGCATTCACAATATACTGATTACTGAACGCTGATAACCAAAACGCTTATGAAGCAGCTAAGGACGGAACGACCAATCTCGGTACGACTGCGATCCTGCCCTCTGAGCTAAAAAAATGAAACAAAAAACATAATTAAAAGAATGTGGCAACTTCGTTGGGCCTGATCGCTGATCGGGAAAGCTCTCGCGTATGAAAAGCACTGTCGATAGTTTGCCCTCGGAGACACTCGCAAAAGAAAGGTCATCCTCAGGATTAAGTATGGACCATGCATGTGACAACGTACCTTTCGGCTAAAGCCCGCGTATGTGTCCGGCATGGGCAGAAAGGTTGCAGGACGTGGCTCTCCTTATTGAATGGTTCTCTTGCATTCCTTGGCTCTATATAGAAAGCGCGTAGGAATGCCACCCAATATGAAATTTGAATAGGGCAGCGTACCTCTATTCCCTTTTTCGAGTTTTGGAGAAAACAGTATTTTTTATTGTATATAGTAATGATAGTTGTGTATATCTGGCTTGAGTTGGAAAGTGAATAATTATTAGCGTGAATGTAAAGGCTAGAGCCCTCTGGCCCAATATTGACTACCCCGTTAATTTATAAATAGATGCAAACGGTGATGGAGGAATATCAAGTATTCCACCACCCAAACTGACTGAATGGTATGTAAATAAGTAAGAATGTATTTAGGAGTGAGTTCTTCTCGAAGTGGATGTTCTATTCCATGGCTAACGCCAAACAGTACAATAAACTTGCTTTGATGTTTCTGTTGAGAGACGGGCAGATTTTATTTCAGGTTGAAAAATCTAAGAAATTTTTTATCGTCCTGTACCTGGTCAATTCATCCATTCATTTTTCTTCTACGTCTATTTTTTCAATTCAGTTTTCATCATGCTTTACATTGTGTCAACTCGCGTTTCTACTCCATTGCGTGTGAAGGCTGCTATTGTTAGTTTATTGGCCAGTTTGTTGCTTTCAAAGCCCCTCTTGACCTCCCACCCACATCCACGTTGCCTAAGTCTGTTCACAATTTTTGTGAAATAAAGCTTGCTTTAGTATGGTTGGATAGGTTCGTACGGATCTTTAGAAACCGGAACGCATTAATAAGTTGACAAAAGAAAGTTGAGGTCGTAGTGCATAGTATAGTTTGTGACGTAGTAATAAACTATCAAAATTTCTTTCAACTTTTGATTAGATTAATTAGATGCTGTATGGAACCCACAGTTCCTCTCCGATGTTGTCAAACCTTTTTTTATCCTAGGGTCACTGGTGACGATAGTCTTACCATTTATGACCTAAAAGGTCTATTGTGGCATTTGTCTTTTTCCATGACTCAGACCGGGCACTTCCATTAAGGTAGTTGAGCACTTTCCGGGATTCCTCTTAGCTTTCCTCTAGCCATTTATGACAGTATCGCCTGGTTTCTGGCTCAGATTTCCTATTTTTAGGTGGTAATTGAATTCGCAATGGCCAATATTTTCTTTCATTCTTGCCCTGCCTAGTCATTTCGTTCAGTGCCCCTTTCAGCATATTAGAGCGTGCCAATTTACGTATCCATCCCAAGGTTTGAAGACAGCACCTGACTTTGCTAGTAAGCTAGCCTGTTTGTAGCCTTTCAGTCCCTCCTTATGTTGTCCTCTCCAATGTCCTAGCACCCATAATAGTTAGATTTTGAATTCCCAATTGTTAAAATACATTAGGCATTCTCTCCATTGACTTGAAGGAGGGAGAATCTAAAAACCTTCAAGTTTACTTGGATGTCTGAGAATGTGTTTATTTGTGCACAAATTTTTGAGCATTTCTTGTGCAATTTCTTTTCCATTGATCTCAGCTAGGAAAAATGGGAACTTGGAATATAGAGCATTATGTCTATGTGTTATGTTAGCATGTCTATGTGTGGACCTTTAACCCCTTCGTCCACTCTGTTACATTTTTCTGTTCACCATAATAAATCCCCTATATTAGTTTGGCGTTTTTATTATTCAAAACATATTTTCTTGCAATGTTTATATGATATGATCTATATTTTATTTTTACTCTGTCGGCTATAATATGAGGAAATGTTTCCAGTCTGTGGATCAGGTGTCGTCGTGTTGCAGTTGCACTTAAAGCTTGGTGTGGGTGGTTAGATTCTGCAGTTATAATGCTCTATATTTGGAAGTCAATTTTGTTGTTTGCTCTGGTAAGTGTTAAGTCTGAGAAGTTGATTGGAGAGTGAAGGCGAACCCAATAAGTAACCCAATTCCGGGTCAACACATGTCAATCTTTGTAATTGATTTTATGTCTTCTTATCCACCCCAGTGTTTCACTGCAAAATCATTGGCCGACACTTGTATCGACATTCCCATTTTGAATTGCTTTGTCTATTTGTCTTTCCCAAGTGAGGTTTTGATAAAATATTGTGCACAGGAACAATGCCTCGCTTAAGAAAGCTATATTTTTATTTCAATTAATTGTGTTTTTTTTAATCTAAGGTGAAAAACTTAGCGTCACAAGAGGGATTCGAACCCACGACCTTCGGCTAGCCTGAATGAATAATCTAACCATTTCTAATTGTATAATTATCAGGAATTACACTTTGTCATTATGATGATTAGGCAATTCCATCGCACGTTCCATAATTCGTATGTTGACTATACGCAGCACAATATACGGGCATTAAAGGAAGCTAATTAGGTTTCATAAACCTCCAACGTGCATAACTTACACGTTTTTGTTTTACCAAACTATTAACGGTTTCCTTTTGAATATAACCAAAACTGCATTAAACATACAAAATAGAAATATAAAATAACTTTAATATATGAGTTTTTATAAGTTCTGTAAATCTATTTAAATATTGTTAAAACGTTATTGCATTCAATAATTAAAACTATTTTCAACCACTTTTGTTTTTATAATATTCTATTTTTAATAATAACTAGAAAAAGAACAATCCTAGTTTCTATTTTTTTAAATAAAAAAACATAATTTTATCACCAGAACTTGTACAACATATATTTCATAATCTTTTTAATGTTATTCATTTCTTTTGACCTCTAAAAACGGGTTAAATGAAATCGGAAAAAAGTGTTTGGCATAGCAATTTATATTTGATTAAGACTTAATTGGTCTAAAAAGGAAACAAGCCGGTCTCAGAGGTATATATTGGAACCGTTCTATTTTTAACTGCTAATCAAATTACATGATAGGCTTTTCCAGAGAGTTTTCTTTTAATTTTGTTACTTCGAAGACTGTTACGTGGAGTGTGAAAAAACAGCAAAATGGTCTGTAAAGTAAAAAAGTACGTTCGCATTCGATCAATCCAATTTGATCCATGTTTTCAGGCTAGTTAGTCATTCGAAATGTGTTCAGAAAAATTTCTTTGACCAATTGTTGTAACTATCCGAACATCCTTGCATTTTTGAATTTTGGAATTTGTTACATATATGTATATATATATATATATATATCGTATGTACATATCACTATAAATCGTACAAATAATTAATAATAATATGGGAAAGTATCCTGGAACTTTCGTAACGTCGGGATTTAAAAAAAGGTTCGTTGTAACGGAAGCTATAAAGGAATGTGTGTGTTTAGTAAGCAATAGTTAATTAGTTGGAGTTCGTGAGATGAGGTCTGGTGTGAAGTAGGTTCTAGAAAATCATTTTCTTTATTGGGCCAACGTTTCGATCTTTATTGAGGTCATCTTCAGGGCTTAAAGTTTTTGTTCTCTGTGAAGGTGTGTCATATTGGGTGTCGTGTTGAGCACACAGATATCCCACACTTTGAGCCCTGAAGATGATCTTAGTAAAAATCGAAACATCTGCAGTATAAAGAAAATGTTTTTCTGAAACCTACGTCACACCAGACCGCATCTCACTATCTCCAAATAACTATAAAGGAATGGTCACACATTGAATGTTGTCACTTTCACTCTAAGGTCGTGGGTTCGAATCCCGCTCGTTACACTAACTTTTTCATCTCAACCAAAACCTTAGATAAAAAGAATAATTAATTGAAATAATTAATAAGGTCAATTATGACCACTAAGCAAATAAGAACTACAATATTTTATGTTTACCATACAAGTAATTATGAAGCGTCGATGGCCGCAACGGTTTAGGCGTTGAAAGGACGTTCATCACTGTAAGGTAAAGGACCCGGGTTCGAATCCAGTGGCCCTTCGTTCGAACCCGACAAACTTAAAAAGGACTTTTTTTTAAAAAAATCGGCACCACGAGGATTCATATGACCTCTGTTGTTGCGAACCCTCATAAAAAATGTAATTAATTAATCGTTAATTAAGGTTTTGGTTGAGATAAAAAGCCAGTGTCACAAGCGGTTGGAGTTGAGGCGGGAAGTTGGTGTCCGAGTGGATCGAATTCACGATAGCTCAAGAGGTAGAGC